ACTGCACTTATTTTAAAAATCAAAACTGATATATACTAACTCATATATATAAATATATCATAGTTTTAGCATCCAATCAGATCTTGTGCCAATTTAACCCCAATTTTCTTTTTTGACAGTAAAAAATTTTAAATTAAATTAATTAGTATCTATTTCTTGAAAAAATTAAACCCATAATTAACATGCATTCCACCTGCTATTCAATGGCAGTGTGGCCACCACTGATCCACCTGGGAGTGCAATTTAACCCCAAGTTATATGAACTACAAAAATTGAGGGCAAAAGAATCAAAATTGACTTTTTATTAATTTATAGTAACTCCAAAAAAAAGTTCAAGGACTAACCAAAAAAGTTCAAACGACAAAGTACCATACGCCGTTTTGAGAAATCAATCGCTCTTGTTCACTCCACAAAACCCGTCGATGCCTTCTCTAACAGAAAACCAGAAAAATGTAGAGGAGAGTGATATTAGCTTTCTTCCTCACTCTCTTGGTCTTTTCCTTCCCCTCTTTCCAATTCAAATCCGATGAGCTTCTCCTAGATGACGAGGAGTTCGGTCTCAAGGGTGCTCCACCTCGCTTCCCTGAACCAGCATCCATCCTTGCTGCTACTAGATCTTCCCGGAAGAGGCATTCGGAGCTGGAGTCTGACTCCAAGATCCAGTCTCTGGGGCACGCTTTCGGTGACTCCGATTTGGTTCCCGTTGGCACCTTCTCTGCCCGCCGCAACACTTGGAATCACGGTGGCCAGGTTAGATTTAAAATCAGATGCTAAATTGCTAATCTTGAATTCATTTTTGATTACTAGTTTAGCTTCTTGGTTATTTTCGCCCTATTATTCTGTTCTGGGGATTTGTTTAATTGCTAAAATAAAGTTTAAAAACTGAGGTACAAATTGGGATTTACTAAAGAGCTTACACTTTCTCTTCCCATCCTCTTTTTTTCCCCTTTTTATCTCAATGAAGTTTTTGAATTCTTTTGTTGAGATTTGAATGATTGATCCTGATTTCTTTGTCAATTACAGTTGGCTTGATGTTCTTTCTAGAAAATTCCAAGTATGATAATGGATTTGACATGCAATTTTTCTTTGTGACAAACACTAACAAAGCTGCGGTTTTCAAGAAATGGTTTCATTGATGAGGAGAAGAAAAGTTCAAAGTAATTGCATGTTATTTGAAATCCTAATTTTCATTTTCTTTTTTTCGTCTTTGCAAAAAATCATTGTACACCGCTTTGATTTGTATTGTTCTCTGTCCTGCAGAATTTGCTTCAAGGTGATGACCTCTACAGGATAAGGCTCCCATTTAATGGTCTAAGTCCTCCTGGGAGGGATTATATTATCACATCAGTGAAAGCAGTAAGTTAACCACTTAATGTTTTTTTGAATTCAAAACTTTTTGATCTCTCTGGTCAATTATCTTCCTCTTGAGGATTTTGCTACTATTTCGTAAGGTCTTAGGCTTCTTGGTCAAATGGACATTTACTTTTCTACTTTTGGATTGAAACTTTTTGATCATGTAGTCATCTGTCTGATTTAAGGTCTTTACCAACTTATGTTCAACCAAGCTCAAGAGGGGGTCTCTGCAATCAGCCTTAAATTTGTTGACCACACAGCACACGTTGAATATGAATGTTTATTTCATCTCACTGTTTGATCTTAGTTGCTTTTATTAAGAACCCTTACTCTTAGCATTTGTCTAAGAGAAGTTGAATAATTTTCTCGTAAATTTTGATGCAATAAAAATTTGATAGTGGAAGTTAAGAGCTTTTTCGTTTGAATTTGAACTTTAGTTTTCAAATATTAATTTAAAAAATGTAATGCCATACTGCTCTTCCATCAATTACCAAATTATTCTAAAAATTTAATTATGCTGTCTCCTTTTGAATTTGTATGGTTCACCATCTTTTTGTTTAACTACAAAGATGTCTTCCACGGGAGGGTTTGGACGAGCATTTTGTCATAAACACGGTAAATTTAGAGTTAACTTTATATGTGGTGCTGCATCATCCCCTCCCCCTCTCCTGGGTGTGTTTGTAGGATGGGGTTTTGGGTAATTGTTCTAATTTAGTCAAACCTGCTATGAAGAAATTTGTTTTTTTAACTTCACCGTGTAATGTAATGTGTAAATCTTTCTAACACTTGTTCGAAATGGGCTTAACTCTAGTTTGATATTTATCATATTTTTAAATGAATATCATTATTTTTCCACTTTTAAAATGACTTTTTTTGATTCAATCAATGGTAATGAGTTTCCCTTTTTTGCTGCTAACTTGCCTAACATCATAGTAAATTTTTACTGCTTTGACATGCATCTAACGTTTACTTGCTCATTTCTTTTTTAGATTACCATATGGTCAGTTTGTGTATAAAATTGGAAAATGTTAATTAAGGAGGTATATATGATGGTTGTCAGGATGAAACTTCCTTTTCTAGTTCTTGCTGTAGTTTGCCTGATTGTCGTTGCTCCTTTTTCCCTGCTGTTGCAGGAAGTTGTAAATATCTTGGCAGTCAATTATGGGTCCCCAGGGGCATGTGCATATCCTCGGCAGTTGAAACTTGTGAGTTACAATTTATCTCTTTCTTTTCTCTTGTTTCTGAGTTAGTTGAGCAAACTGCAGAGATTATAGCCTCTTCCTCAAATTTATTGTTGTCATTGTTGCTACTTGTTCTATTCTACAATTAGTTTTAAAAAATATCTTAAAAATGTGAACTTCCCTTTGTGTTATTACAATATCCTTTTCTAAATTGAAGTTGTTATTTTAATGTGTAATGTGTAGAATCATACCTTGCCAACTCATAGATTTAATAGTAACTTTAAATTCAATGGGTTATATGGGATCTAAATTTTTTCTCCAACACTTGTCCTCGATGCTGGATCTACAAGAAATTTAGGTCACTTTGAAGTTGCAGTTTCAAATAGCATTTCTTGCACAATAGTATGGTCAATTAAGGTTCATAAGATTCAACAACTATAACCTCATCAAGTGTACTTAAGCATGTCATGGCATTCAATATCTATTGTCTTCTAGTCTTTCAGAATATTTTATTCTTGCTGAGATTTTGCAATATTAACTGAACTTTCACAAAGATTAAAGGTGATTTCTTGCAGTCTTAAAAAGTTTTTCTCTAGTTGTATTGTAATCTATGTTTGCTTTACCTGTACTATAGCCTTTTAAATGGGCCTTCAACTCCCACACAGTTTTAAAGGACGGTGAGCAGGCACCAAGGTATTCTCCTATCCATATTATTCACTTGTTTTTGGATCTAATATTATAGCTCCTGTTTTTTCTTTTTCTGATTTTTAATATCCCCAACATTATTAACTCTTTCTTTATCTTCAGTTTTATTGATTATTTGATTGACATCTAATTGGAAGCTATTTCATGGCTTAAAGGAGAACTTATTAATTATAAATTGCAATCTCATCCTGTTTCTTTTACTGTTTCAAGAGCATAAGATACATGTCCTCCTCGATGGGCAAGTTTGTTTTAGTAAATAACTTAAATACATCCACTCCATGTCCAAGCTGATCATCATAGTATACAATTATACATCATATTTGCAAAATCTCTATAGCAATTTTGTTTTCATTTTAAGTTTCTTTTCTCAATCTAAAAAACAAAAGGGTTGCTTTCACCATTGCCTTTTGTTTTGCAGGGCTCCAATCTTTACTGAAGAAATTCTGGGTGATGAGAATGGAGAGAGTGAAATTGTGCAACCACTAGAAAAGTTTTTCTAGGCCAAATATGTAAGTCAGGAAGGAGTTACAATTTCCTTTATTCTGGTTAAGCCATCTTGAGTGAGACTAACTGAATCTTCTGTTTGTAGTGGATGTATTTGATTCCTCTTGGACTCATTAGTCATGAATGCCATAACCCAAGCAATGAATATGCCTGAGGAACAGGCTACTGGTCAATCAGCATCACAAGCACAGCCGGCTGCATTCGTGCATCCAATGCTGCAGTGCGTAGGAGATGACATTTAACTATTTTGGGGAGAAATACTGGCTAAAATTTATACTTTGATTGGGTCTTGGATTACTTTGATTGGGTCTTGGATTGATCTTCGTAGGTTTACAATTGCACAAAAATGTTTAATTTATTTTGTTAGTGAATCGAGTTCATTTATTTAAACTCATTTAACCTGAAAGTTGATTTAACCTCATTTAACTTGAAAGTTGAGCTTGACTTCCAATTTGAAGATCTTTAGTGTTTTTGTTACTTTTTTTAATTTTTTTGGTAACATACTTTTGTTGTTTAAATAATTAATTAGGTATTCTCCTTAATTCATAATTTAAATTAAACTGGATTGCAGAATTAGGATTGTTAGATGAAGGAACAACTTTCAATACCAAGGAGCTGACTTCTCATCTAACAGCTCTTGTTGTGCAGTCTTGACTACAAAACTCTCCTTCAAAAAAAAAAAAAAATACAAGTAAAATTATATCTCTTTAGAGTAGATAGAGTAATAATGGACTGTTAAATACTACACATAATATGACTAATGTAAACGGTTCCTCAGATCCCAAGGCCTCTCAGTAGCAAGGGGTATTCGTAGGGAATCGGGAGTGAAACATGGCAGTTTGATTTCAACATGTAATTGGGCACAGGTCATGCAATGCCTGCGGAAATCTACAACATCCTCAAGGCTATGGAACCTACATGGTAAAAGAACTATAGCAATGCGATAGTGGAGTCCGATTCCTTCTTGTCAGTACAAAAGATCAACCATGGTGCAACTTGTTTTGACCCATACGGAAGTTTAAACAACAAATGTCGAGCCTTCATCCAGGAAAATTAGCATTGTGAATTTTGACATGGTTTTTGAGAAATCAGTACATGCGGATGCCATGATTTCATGACTCTTACCACTTGGGCATGAGTCGGCACTATTTGGTTGAATCACTTATAGATGTAACATAAGGAATGACAAAAAGGCCTCTTAAATATTTATGTGTGTGTGAAGTCTTTATATTAATTCTTTATATATGTAAAAAAAAAAAATGATGTATTAGAATATTTAGAATTTATTTAGTATGGATGTGATTTAAAATTTTTGGTTTTGATTTTAAAAAATTTATAAACTCAAAATAAAATTAAGTAGTTCTATAAATTAATTAAGTTTAAAGTTTTGGGTATTTATTTTAAAATTTTACACTTAATATGTTGGTATTTTTAATTTTTAATTTTAATTTCTAAGTATTAATTTTGATTATTTAAATTTTAAAAATTAAAATTAAAAACTAAAAACTCAAAACTACAATCGTATTAAATTGAGGCTTAGTTAATGGATAACAACAAATCTACTACTGCAATTGCCATTTTTTCTTAACTATCTTTAAAACAAAATCCATCAAACAAAACATATATCAAATTATATATCATGGTGTGTTTATTTTACTATTTTTTAAAAACTTATCAATTGTTGCCGCTAATTGATATAATTAATATAGATCTTTCTTCACTGAGATCTCAAAGCCTCTCAGCAATAGAGGGTATTTGCAAAGAGTCAGAGGGAACATGGCAGTTTAGTTTCAACAAGCAATTTGGGGCATAGGTCATGCAATGTGTGCGGAAATCTACGCCATCCTCGAATTTTGCATGGCAAAATAACTATTGCAATGTAATAGTAGAAACTAATTCCTTGTTAACTGTACAAAAGGTCAACTATATATGGTGCAACTAGTGCAACTCGTTTATGGAAATTTAATCAACAAATCTAGATCCTTTCTCCAATAAAAATGGCACTCTAAACTGTGACGTGTATTTTGAGAAGTTAACAAATATGCATATGTCATGGCTTCATAACTCTACCACTT